TTTAAATTGCAAAATCAACTTTTAAATTTAAATTTTTTTTTTGTTCCTTAGAATTAATAATTTTTAAATACCAATTATGAATAACAAAAAAAAAAAATTTGAATTTTTAAATTTCAAAATAAAAAAAAAACTCCCGATAACATAAAATCAAAAATATATCAAGGCAAAATGAATTTTTTTATGTAATGTATAAATAAATTATATATATTTATATACATATATGTATTTATATATGTATGCTTTTCATAATGAAAAAAAATATGTATATAGACATAATAACTATAATAATAATATTTTTCTTTTAATCAAAAAAACTTGCACAATCAATATAATTAATAATAATAAATTAATATTTTAATATTATAATTATAAGGATATTATTATGATTTTATGAAAACAAAAATACAAAAAGGAAATACTGAAAGAGAAAAATCACAATTATACTCATTTACATCATTTACTCCAATTATATTTTTTAAGAGAGTTTATTGTTAATAACGCTGTTAATCTCTTTGTGAGTAAAATTAATTTTACACCCGATTTCATTTTTTCTTTAAGCAACTCTCACAATTTTTTGAGTAAAATTATTTTTTGTTAAAATTATTATGAATTCCACAGCATTTTAAGAAAAGAAACTGAAATTCTCATGGTTTTCTGTGAATTTTCTGTGAATTGAAATGGCAATGTAATATTCTCTGAAAGTTTAATAATTGTTTTTTTTGAAGGAGTAGTTGTTATTTTCTGGTTACAGCTAGATATTAATGTAGGCAAACAAATTATATTGAAAGAAGTTCCATTTTTTTAAGAATATTAAATTTTATTTTTAATTCATTCAATTCTGTTTAAGAACTAATTTCATATTCGATAATTTCGAGTTAATATTTTAATTAGAAAAGAAAATTCTTTTACAGTATAATTATTAATATACATATATATAAGACACGAACATAATATTTATATACATATATAGAGTGAAATTAGTAATAAAACTAAATAATGCATTTATACAATAAAGTGTAATATTAATTTAATCATATGTTAAATTGCTACGATACCCAAGTAGCAAATTGTGGAATTAATTTTTTATAGAGAATTTATGTATTTTATGCATTATTTACCGATACCCAAGTAGCAAATTGAGGAATTAATTTTTAACAGAGAATTTATGGATTTTATGCATTATTTAAAGATTTGAATATTAAATAATTTAATGATATAAGTAATAAATTCAAAAAATTTTTTGCTATTATTATATAAAAATCGTCCTATGTAAATGCACTACTTATTAGCAGCATTTAAGAATAATCATTTAGTTATATTTAAAACTGTGAAAAATTTATAAATTATTCACATTTATTTGCGGTATTTACATACTTTTGTATTATGAACTTTTATAAAATATAACAGTTTAAAAATATATTTGATATTTGCTACTGAAAATTCAGAAAATTAATTTCAGAATATAGCAAAATTAAAAAATTTTAAATTTTAATTTTCATTAAAACGCTGTAATATTAAAAATTAAATTTAATTAAGAAAATTATTGAATTTATTATTATTTTTTTTTTTTTGTTCATCCAGAAGGAATGTATAAAAGTCAAATTCAGTGCCTAATAGATTATATGCTTCTGTTCTATATTCATCCTTTTCAAGTTTTTACTGAGCAGGTGACTATTCTGCTATAATAATTGTTATACGTAATCTTGTATTGAGATTAATTTTAAACAAATTTTATTTTTTTGAAAAAAAATATTTCGAAATTCTTAAAGAATTAGATAATTTTTCTCTTTTAGTATTTCTTCTTTAATTAAATTAATTATTTATAAAATAAAAATAATATTATTTCTATTTTTTTTTTTTATTTCTTATAAAAAAACTTAAGACAAAGTACCTTTGTTTTGGTTTTGAATACTTTATTATTAATTAATTTTTTTATATATATATTTTTGAATTTTATTAAACAATAATTATTAAAAAATTTATTGGTTAAAAAAATGAAAAACAATATATTCAAAAATTATAATACCTTTAGATTTTCATATTCTTTATCATATTATATAAAATTATAAATTAATTTAAAAAATTTAATTTAAAAAATTCAAATAAAATTAAATAATTAAAATATTTTTTAATTTAAATTCAATTCAACGAAAACAAATTAATTTTAAAATAAACTACATTTTATTAAATAAATCAATATGAATTTAATTTTTTATTAAAAACAAACGAAATATTTAATTAATTTAAATTAATAAAAAAAAATTTAAAAATAAAACAATAATTATTTTAAGTAAATTTAAAAATTATAGAAAAATTTTTAAAGAACCTTAGAATTTTAACTGATTATGTAGTGGTAAAAGTAAAAAATTTATGCAGCTATTTATTATTTACGTTACAGATGAAATGAGTAACAGATTAATTAAAATTTAAGGTTAATAATATGTAAGAGAAATAAGAGTACTAAAAATTAATAGTCACCACATTTTTAAATAAAAAATAATGTTTTCATGTAATAATTAATTTTTGAGATCAATTCTTATACAATATCAAATGAAAAATTTCTTCGCATTTTTTCCCATTCTGCCCCATTTATTTTGTGGTGACAGCCAATATTGAGAAAGCAATCTTCAATAATATAACATTTGGAAAAGCAATGCTATGTATTCAAGTGGGAATTTATCATAAACCTGTTTCATTCCATAATGTTCCATAAAAATTTTGAAAAAACGGTTTGAAATTGGAGTTGTAATGAATGCCATATTAAAATTAATTGAGAAAATAATTAAGAAGTCTTTCTTATAATAAATTCAATAAAATTCAATATTACATATTAGCAATTTGCCATTATAATCACTTTATCATCAGGACAATAAAGTTGCAATTTAAAAATTTCAAGACTAATTGATGGTAATATCGCTTTAAAATTATTTAAGTACAAAAACTTGCATACAAAATAAATAATTTTTACCACTAAAATCAGTAAAAATAAGTTATAGAGCACAATGAATAGTTAAAATTTTAGTTTTATTTTTTTTCAGCATTATCAAACTGCAAGCTAAACAATATCATAAATTTTTTTTTCTCTTAACTATATTTTTTTTTTATATTAAATTTTATATTGATACTTAAAATTATGTAAAAATGCATGTAAATGTTTTGAATTGTTTGAATTTTTCTCTCTTGAAATAAAATGATTTACTTGAATAAATTATGAATTCCTTATGTATTCCCAATTATTAGTGAATATTTAATTTACTAATTAAAATTAAACTGCAATATGAATAGCTTATAATAGTATATTAAAAATGATTATTATAAAAGTATGAATATATTGTTATACAAGAGATAAATTTAATGTTTATATGAAATAAATGTTATATTATGTTTTAATGTAAATGACTCATAAAGAAAATATACATTTTGTTTTTCCAACAAACAAACAAAAAAAAAAAAACAAGAAATTAGAAATTTAATCAAATTATTCCATATAAGTATATATAGTATAACAGTTTTCTTTTTCATTTTTCTTGTATAATTTCTAGCTATATAGTTTAAGTTAGAAAATCTAGTGTATAATTGTTACTTATAGTTTGTATGAAAAATGCAAAATATTTTCATAATTTGGTTTTAATTTCAAATTGAGAGATATTTTAATTTTGAAAAAAATTCCTGATCTTTTAAATTTTGTACATGTAAAAGCTTAATTTTTGTATATTTCTGACAAAATCAAAATATTTCCACAATAAATAATGTAATAACTCAGGACAGGATCTCATCAGGAATCAAATAAATTTACTAAATTTTTGAATACCGCACTGAAATCAATATATCCCTAAAAGTATGCAAAAATTGTAGAATTTAAAAAAAAAACCATATATCACTATGAATTGTATGTCATAAGTAAAACCATATATCACTATGAATTGTATGTCATAAGTATATTTATAAATTTTCATCAGATTTAATATTAAAATTTGAAAAAATTAGAGTATTTAAATAACAATACGGTACACAACTTTCTCATGAGGATTCATGATATTAGGAGACAGCCACAATAATTTATTATTGTACCGTAAGTTTTTTTTTTGTGTTTCCTTGTAGCTCAGAAAATTATACATTTATTTCAAATGACTGCATTAGAGTAAAATACGATTTTTAAGTGGGATTTTACTCAAGTATTTATAATATTAGTACACTATGCATATAATATTTTAAATATTATTTTTAAGTTTGCCTTTATCGAAAGACGCCTCTATTATTTGCAACATATCATTTCGAATCGAAAATTCAAAAATTTCTTAGGGAGACAAGAAACAATTTTAGGTAAATTAATAGGGTGTTGTAAAAATGTGTGAATTGAGCCGAAAAGAGATTACATTTTAGATAATAACAAAATTAATAATTCTAATTTTTCTTACAAATAACAGGATCTGTTAAGTTTCTTTTATTTTATTGTCGAATGTATTATAATTACATTCGAATTACAAAATATTTTGCTTTTCTCATACTAAACTAAATTAAAAAAAAGAACCTAAATCATCCTATACTTTTTTAAAAAATTAAAAAAATTACTAAATTATGCTCATGTTATAGAGAGTTCTTATGCTCTAGGTTCATAATATTATAACAAAAGAAATACAATAATTATAAAATATAAAACAAAATTTAGAAAATAAAAATTTTAATGTAGTTTTTTTAATTTTAAATGAAAAGCGAAATAATAATATTTATTAAAGCAAAGTTTACTTTAGAAAAAAAAAATTCAATTTTTTTTTTAAACAAAAAAAAATTACAAATGTAATGATAGTAAAACAGAAATAACGGAAAGAAAATTTATATTTTATAAAAAAATTTTTTGTTTTGTTTTTAAAACCTAGAGCAAATTATATATAGGTATATATTTCATATATATTATTATTATTATTTTCTTTTTGTTCAATTCTATGGATTATTATTAATTATTTAAATAAAAAAAAAAATTTGTACAATTTAATACTTACACAACATTCTCTAAATTGTTTTGCATCAATTGGGGATGTAAAATTTAATCCCCATGTATCATTTGTCATTGGATCTTTCCAATATACAAAACATTCCGAAGCTTGTCCAATACGTGTACCTTTTTTATTTTAATTTTAATTAAAAAAATATATAAATTAAATAAAAATATTAAAATATTAATTTTTTTAAATTTAATTTAAATAAAAATTTACGATAAACAATATTATAGAAAAAATTTAGTTATTATTGCATTGAAATGGGAACTGTTTCGAACATTTTTTAGTATTTTTATCATTTTTTTTTTCTTTTTGAGTAATTTTTCAATATTATTTAATTGTATCTAATAAAATTTTCTGAAAAGAAATTATCTATTGATTTTTCAACGTTATATTGAATTTAAAATTCTAAAATCTCTTTTCACATAATATGATGTTCGTTAATGTTTGATAGCGAACATAATGTTTGATTAAACACTTATTGTCATAAAACAAACATAATTTACTTATGTTACCATACAAAAACTTTAATTTGTCCAAAAAACATAAATCATGAATAAAAGCTTTAAAATTACGAAAAATAATTTGTTCTCAATAAATATTTCTCTGATCCGTTCTTCTATTATTATCGCATTTGTTGCATATTATCGTATAAAATCCTAATAAAGTTTTTACTGCAATATATTTAAATATATTAAAATTAACGTTCCATATAATATTACGAGTAATAAATCAATTATACTTTCTTCTACTCTAAAATGTGGTTGCAGTACACTCAGAAAAAATATCAAACTCTTATATATTAATTTTGATCTGACCATTTTCCATATTGTTTTTTGTATAACAGTTTAAAATATGTATATAATTGTATATATGAAACAGTTACATATACATACAGAAACTGTATAACAGTTTCATATATGTGTATATAATGCATATATGTATATATATTATATCTATATATGTGTATAGGTATGTATATATATTATATCTATATATGTGTATAGGTATGTATAAAACTATTATACAAAAAAAATTTATAGCATTTAAAATACTAAAAAATGTCGCATTTTATTATGCAATTAGATTTTATTCAAAGCAATTATAATATTCAAATATTCAAATATTACTTACCGGGTTGGACAAGTCGAACATCAAGTATTTTATCAACCTGACTATTATATGCTGTTATATGAAATACACATTCCGGTGAATCTTGTATACAGGTAATATTAACAGGAACCAAATCTTCAGATACTTGTTGCCATTTAACGGTACCAGCACCGCTTGCAGATACATGGAATACCTCAGCCCACAACCTGAATGAACTGGATTGTTTTATATGCCCACATTTTAAATCATTTACAATTTATATTATATATGTTATACACACACACATTATATAAAAATAAATATTATATGTATAACAGTTAAGTTTTTTTAAATGTTTTTTTTTTTAAAACAATTTTATTTAGCGTTTGAGTTACAAACGATTTTTTTTGAATTTTGAAAATTTTTTTGTTTAATTTTTAATTGATATTTTTTTCGAATTTTTTTTTTTAATATTGGAAAAATTTAGAAGAATAATTTTGATTATTTTGGATAATTTAAGGTTATGGATTTATAATAAGAGAATTTTTTTGATAGTAGTAGGTTAATTTTACAAGAATGTTTTATAAAAATATTGTTTAATTAATTTAATAATGATTATTTTATAAAATTATTATTGTTTTACATACAAATATTCATGAAAATTAAATATTTTTATATAATTGTTATATTTATTATATACGGTTTTGAAGTGGTTAAGAATTTTTGGTTGTGCATTTTGGTTCAATTTTAAGGTTTGTATAACAAATTTTGATTATTTTCATATTATTTATGGTGGTGGTTTTTTTTGGAAGTTAGTGGTGTTAGATATACGTATATGTGGAAAAAAACCATAATAGAAAAAAAAAACAAAAGAAAAGTTTTGTTTAGTTAAAAATAATTTCACAAAAAAAACGAAAAATAGTTTTTGTTAAATTTTTATTTAGTGAAAAATTTTGACAATTAAAATAATAAAAGAAACTTTTGAATATTCTTCAAAAACTATCGTGATAATATAAAATACTGACAATGTTACCAAGATAAAAATATTATTATTAAAAATCTCAATAAAATTTGTATTTCAATTTTGTTACTAAATTTATTGAACGTCATACAGTATTTTAAATTAAGAGTAAATTAAAAATTAAAGAAAGTAAATGTAAGAGTTTAATCACTTACTCTACTCTCATTAAATTTTAATATTACATTAGTATAGAAATTGTCTCGATAGTATTTTGAAAAATATATGAGAGCAAAATTTTGATAAGATCATTTTACTTTTACTGTTGTATTAATTTCATTATTATCTCTCGAATAGAATTTTGTCACTATTGTTGCTATTTTATTTGTTAATTTCTTTATTTTTAAGCAGCAATATTAAACTATTACTGTTACCAAATTTGAGTATAAGAACAATATTATTATACAAAAATATGCTTACTTGCATGAAAACATTTTTGTTTTTTAAATTCACATAAATTTTAATGCATATTAATTCTTAACTAGAGTGAAAATAATTGATAATAGTACAGAATTCAATTGATATTGTTAGAAAAAAGAATTTCGAAAAATTTTGTTAATGTAGAAAAATATTGTTTATCAAAGAATTTAAAATGATTGTATTTAGAATATACGAAAATCGCGTTATTCTATTCAGTATTTTAATCAAAATTCATATAATACATCCTCTTTATAGCTTTGTTTTATAAAGCTTATTTTTTTCCAAAATTTTTATAATAAAATGATCTTATTAAAAAATTATTCTAAGCGCACATTTATAAACATTTATCAATCAATTATTTGCATATAATTTATGCTCAATTTTCATTTAAGTACAATAAAAATAAATAAAAATAAAAAAAAAATTAAAAAATTAAAAAATATTTACAAACATCCAATTATATAAATTTTTATATAGAATAGAAATAGAAATTGTATTTATAGTGTTAAGTGTATAAATGTAGAGTGATATAATTCAAAATTTTTTAAAATTACAGTGAAATAAAATATACATGAAAGTTAAAATAAGAATTTGCTCCGTTTATCCAATCTTTCAGAAATTGCTACCCATAATATTATATAAGTTTTATAAAGAACGCAGTATAGCACTTATTAGAAAGAATTACTGTAACAGCCTAACACTTGCATTAACTGCTCGAATTTCGAAAAAGTTGCCATTATATTATTATGTACAAATTATGAACTATAAGGTGGTCGAAAACAAGAAGTTGTTTCTTGATACTATAGCAGACTGAAGAAAATATTGTGTGAAGAACTTTCAGCTCTAATTGAATGTGAAAAAAAATTTACGAGAAATTTTGCGTTTTTTTTGTTAAATATTTCAAGAAAAAATTCAAAATTCTCATTTTTGGATATCTTATTTTCAAAAACTAAAAGTCAGATATACTTAATTGCTCTATTAATTTATTATCTTTAAACAAGTTGATACTCTATGTTGCGCGATTCCAAAATTAATCAGGGACAGATTTATATCAGTAAGCTGTAGCTCTAAAACAATCATATTTGCTCTTCTACCCCCTACTCAAACAATTTTTTGCTGGAAATTTGTCAATTGGTGTAAATTTTTACATCCTGTGGGTAATACTACTATTTTATAAAGACATTCTGAAAGTTTTGCAGATACCATTTCAAAAAGACAAAAATAATAATATTAAACTTGCTTTCATTTCTACAATTAATTAAAATTTTGAATAAAATCACTCTTAGTTTAAGATTTTTGTATTGGAATAACAATAAGAACATGTGAAACAGCAAAAAAATGTTTGCAATATTGTTTTGTTGCTTTATTAAAAATGTACAAAAAAAAAATTATTTTTAAATTCTTTGTATATAAAATGTTAATGCTTTAATATTTTTCTTTGCTTTTCTTTTTTTTTAAAGAATTAAAAGAAAAATATTTGTAATAAGAAAAACTAATACGCATGCAATGTGGGAAATGCAAAATAAATCGAATTCGGATATCCTGATTTTAATTTTTTGTTTTCTTATTTTTGTTTACGCAATACGTACATTTCTCTATATATATATATATATATACAAATTTTTTTTTATCATTTATTTGTTAAAAAAAAAAAATATTTTTTTTTTTCATTTATTTTTATTTATTTAAATTTTTTTTTGTTTTTTACTCATTTCGTGCAAAAGAATGAAAACAAAAAAAAGAAAAACACATAAAAATTTTTTAAATAAAGGAATGCAAACCAGGTCAAATCCGAAGTAAAAAGAAAAAAAAATAAATTGAAAAAAAAGTGAGGCAAAACGGAATAAAAAAGAATAGGAAATGCCAAAAAAGTGAGTCCTTTTTTTCCCCTTCTCTTTTTTATGAAAATAAAAATGAAGTTGGGAAATTTGCGTTTTTCTTTTCTTTTTTTTTTGTGTTTTTCATTTTCAAATCTACTCTTTTAATTAACTGCAGATCTTTTTGGCATGTGTATACATTTTTATTTTTGCAGTATTTTTGCAGTTGCAGTAAAAAAAGAAAATTATTAATTTTTTTTTTATTTTTGAAAAATTTCTGTATTTAAATTTGAATACAAAAATCTCCCTGTTTTTATTAGTTTTCCATGTTCTATGATCTTTCTCTGATTGAGCTCAATGATAGAATTTGATAGAATTATAACATTCAAACTCATAATATGAGTTTGAATGTTATAATTGTAATGACTTTGGAATTATTAAATGAATGATAGCCATACAAAATTTTATGTAACTTAACTCATTTGGAAAGGTTCTTTAATGTAACTTATGTTATTCAGAGCTGCCAGATTAAAAAAATGCTTTATTTTATTACAGAATTTTTATGTTTAAGGTTTACAGCTTTAAATATTAATTTTCGATATGTGATCAATTTACAAAATACTGAAAAATATTCTAATATTATCGGAACTGGTAAAATGTTGTAGAATTTGTAGGAATAGTTGTAGAATTATTTATACACAATAACACTAACCTCAGGCTTTTTCTGTTCTTTTCAAAAACAAATTTTCTTCCAAACCATAAACTTTACGGTCAAAATAAAATATTAAAACTTAAGTATGAGATGAGGGCTCCAGGGAAGATGAGATATCTTAATTAAAAAAATTGAAGCAATTTTATTCAACACAACAGAATAAATTTTAAGTGAAAAACATAATTTTTACGATAATGCATCAAAATAGTAAAAGCTATTCGTTCTTTATTATGGAACACTGGCTGAGTGTTAAATATTCCGATGGAATTTTTGAAAAACTGTAAGCATATGAGATTTTTGCTTTTTTGTTCATTAAAATTCTATTAGTTATCCTTCATAATTATTTTTATTATTCCATATTATAAAAAATATTGTTAGACATTTTTTAGTGATGCAGACCCGCAATTCACGAATTCAAAATATGTGTTCAATTATAATTTCAAATTATCTTTTAGCAAAATTGAATTTTTTATTAAACCAAAAAATTTTTCTCAAAGAACCAATAACATTATTATTATTTTGATGTGAACAAGCGATGCAATTTTTGATCTAAACAAATTTTATTTTCTTATGAAAACTACGAGACTGTGAATGATTTTTAAAAATTGATTTTTATAAAAAAATTTTTTTAGGCAACAAAGACTATTATTATTGAAGAAGAAAAGCAAATAATATGTTAAGCGCTTATTGAACCATGAAAAATTCATCTACAAAGCGGGTTTGCTTTTTTGATATCCTTAATAAAAAAATAAAATAATAAAAACGAAGCAATAAATTCAAAATTTATTTCCATTTTTTTTTTTTTTCTAAAGAGATTTGCATTCCTTTTTTATTTTAGCTTAAAATTTTTGTAATTTTTTTTTATTATTAAATAGCAATCAATTCCATTTTTTTTTTTTTTTTGAACTTTTAGCATAAAGTTTTATTCAAAATCTATTTAAATTATCTAGCTAGCATTTATTTTTTAATTTCATTTCATTTTTAACTCAAATGTCAAATAATTTATATTTTTTTATTCAATCAAAATTATTTTTTAATAATAAACATACATATATACATACATAATATTATAAACAAAATAAAATAAAAAAAAAATAAAAAAAATTAAAAAAAAAAAAAAATTTAATAAATTACCTCAGGAGATGGCCGTCCCGTCGACGAGAAGTCTGCCATGGAGAATCCTCGTATCGGTAAGCTTTGCGCATAAGCGGCGCACATGAACAACTCAATTTATTTCCCATGGCGCAGCTAGCACATCCAGCCTGACCTCCTATTATTTAAATAATATTAAAATATATTCATATTTTAAATATAAATTAAAAATACTACCGGAGGTTATTTAAAAGGTAATGGATAAATTAGTTTTAAAGTTGTAATAATTTCATTTTGCATTTCTAGGAAAAATCTCATTTCATTTCACTAGTACCCTAAATTTTAGTATTATATGGGAATCGTTGAATTATAATTACAATTAATAAAATGCTTTAACGCAAAATAATTTTAGCAAAAATGGCTCGAATAAGATAAGATGCTTACTAATTCATAAAATTAATCAATTACGCTTAAATAGAAAATTTTTGACTTTACGATTCCATTCAATGACTGAATGATTTTAATGTAAAAATCTATTCTATGTTTTAAATTTTCGAAGAGAAATATGGACAAGTTAATATCTCTCCTTTTTTTACAACCGCAGCCATGTTTATATAATATACTAGCTCGGCCTCAAGAAAAGAGCTAGAGATACATAGAGAACTTGAGCTCGTTTATATACATTCCCCTCTCCTAATAGGGATAAAGTACCGCTGTAATGACTTGTATCTCCTAGCAGTCAAAGCAAAACTTAAACTAATTTACACACATTTTAATTTAACAATATTTTACAAAACAAAAAAACAAGAATAAAAAAAGATATTACCTGAGGCTCCCCGCTGTCACCACATACCGCTAACGTCTGCTTGAGAAAGTGCTTGACCGCGGTTTAGAGACTGAGACCTTTGGTTATGTCTGTGACCGTAATGTCTACTGCCTCTCTGTAATTAAAATAGAAAAATAATTAAATTATTATTAATTTATATTTATTTATTTCATATTGTATTATTACTTCATATAGGATGCTTTGGCTTAACATTCAGATTTTAGCTAAAGTTATTTAGAAAATTTAGTAAAAAATTAGAAGATTAAAAAATTCATAAAATTAATTGATTATGCGACTTAGATTTAAAGAGAATACAACCAAAATTAGACGTGGTAGAAACTAAACTCTTTTTCTTTCTGAAGAACTTTTCCCCGTTCTATTTACCTATTAAGAGAACAAAATTTTTGCGATTGTTTTACGTAACGGAAACTTTTCGATAATCTGACTGTAATTAAATTTTATTCAATGTATGAGAGATACAATAAATTCATAACAGTTCAAAAGCAAATTTCTTCGGACAAATCATTGTATAGAATTCTATAGAGAACAATAACGCTACAATGCAAGACTAACACAATTTGACCTTAAGCGAACCCGGTCTGCTCAGTCTTGTTGATATGTATTTTTTCTTTCATAACACTAACCAACTACAGGAGCTATTTCTCTGAAAATTTCAGATTCAAAATAGGGGACATTAACTGTACAAGTTAAGCTCACCTTAAAAAAGGAGAAATTTAAGCTATAATTAAAGTTGATTTTTTTTGCACAGTTTTTACCCGCTAGGTATTAAAATTGGAATTACAAAGGTCTACGAGGGCCGACGGTATTGCTCGGTAAATTTAAAAAGTTGCGACATTTCATATGATTAAAGGGACGATTCTATAGAAAAAATGTTAATGAAATTTGCGGTAAATCCAGTTAGGGTATGTTTATTAAACATGTAAATTCTAAAATTTTTAAAATCACATCAAATTTATTATAAAAAGTTTGAGACTTATGTAATACTGTTGCTATATCTTACATATTTATTATTGAAATTGTGATTACGAATAAACACTGAACACTTTTAGTAGAAAATTATTTTGATTAAGAATATTTTATAACCTGAAATTAAAACTTGAAGAAAATGGATCTGGATAATCAACAAAATTTTTGTATCTAATTAAAAGTAAAAAATTATTTACAGGGTAATAATTTTTAATAATAATCATAATAGCCATCTTCTTGTATTCTTTAAGTATATTTTTCATAATTTTCCATGTATAAATAAAAAATCTATTATTATTTTTTTTTCTATTCTTTAATTTTTATATTTTTCCCGTTGATTCTGGAAGATATTCTTCATCTCTTAACTTATGTTACTTCAAAAATCAATTTTCTATTTGTTCTTATTTTATTTTATAAAAAAATTTTTTCCTTCAAAGTTGTTTCTACAGTGGAAACAACCAATTGCAAAGTAATTACATGTTACATGCATTCTACACCGTCTATATAAATATAATTTTAAAATATTCACATACTCATGCACTTGTAGACGTACATATATTTTATATATAGATTAACATAAAATTGTGTAGTACATACTTAAAATTTATAATAAATTTTAATCATAATCATGAGTCCTCCATATCATCGCACATATGCATGTGGATATTATATCCTTCCCACTTCATTGAATAAATTCAACCGATTATCATAACATGGTATGCACATAATATGTATGTATATGTATGTATGTGAATTGTCTGCAATTTTCAGATTTTTAATTTATGTTCATATGAGAATATGCAATTAAAGTAAATGTCACTACAGATTATATACAAAAAAAAAAAAAAATAAAAAAAATATAATAATAATAATAAATGACAACATTTATGTACCCTTTTATTTAATATTTTAGAGGGGAAGGGCTCTACATATCTGTGTTTTTCCCTATATTATTTAATATTTCAAGTTTTTTTTTTAATTTTCGTTTTTTATTATTTTTTAGTCTTCTTGAATGCATAAATAAAATGAATTCATGAGCAGATTGTAAAAAATTTTCTGAGGTCACCTAGGGTATAATTTGAAAGTAATTTCTGATTTTAGAAAAATGGAATTGGAAATAATAATTATGATTGTATAAAATACTCGTGACATGAACCACAAGTAATTCGTCAAAATCAAAAGTCAACATTATTATGCAGTTATAAAATAATTTAACTATATTATATTTTAATTTAAATTACTAGCATAGATCAGCATTTCGGTAAATTACATTGACTTAATAGTAGCAGTGGTAGTAGAAAGGGCGTGGTGCCATCGTGAATTCTATACAACAAATTACCCCCCTTTAAACTAACCGTATACGTATCCCGAACGCATTCTCCCGACAGATCACCCAAATCTCAAACTGGAGCGGTCTTAGATATTTGCTCCTTTTCCACATAATCCTTTTCACTCTAACTTGTTCCTCGTCAATAATGCTACTAAACCCTTCCAATCACGAAAACAGCGAACGATCCATTTTCCTTATGTCAGCCACCGCCTACAACCTTGAAAACTTATCAGCCTTCTCATTTTCTTAATTATATTAACTAAATTTCATTGACTTACTTTTCTTAAAAATTCTTCTTAAAAGTTTTTCGAACAATTTGTTTCTGAAAACAAAAATAGTCATATATGTAAGTACTTTTCCTTAAGCCCGAACGTCAACAACCAATATAAATGGACGATCATTTTCAGTTCTCAAATATTTTATTCTCGTTTAGTTTGAAACTTTTTTTTATATTATTGAAATCAATTCCCCAGGTAACATTTGGCTTTTCTATTATATAATATTATACAAGAAATTCGAAAACAAGACAAATGCATAATATTTTTTGCAATTATTTTAAATATTTCGTATATTTTTATTGCAATACACATACTGTCGCCAAAAATAATATTTCTACTCTTGTTTATTTTAATAGAATTCATACCCATAAATAATTTTATGGTACTTATTGTATAGTACTGATAGTACTATACTAAAATTATATATGTACTTATAATTTTATTTATAATACGATAGTTATTTATTATATATATATAATACTAAATGCTGCTTATATTCGCAAATACACATATTCCATGTTGTACTGAGTGTCTACTACAGAACCAAACTAATGGGGTTCTGGTACTCCCGAAATAGGACTCCAGCTGTTAATAATTTTGAAAAGTGATATGGGAGGCGACCGTTGAATAGCGAAAAAAATTCTTTCATATTATTGTTTACATCTAGTAAAATAATTACAACAAAAAGATTTTAACATATAGCCTATGAAATCCTGCTTTGAATTACAAAATTAATATGTCCTTAATGTAAAGTAAAAGCTGTAAACTAGTCCAATGAGCGTCATTTCGATGAATGAAGTTTCCTGAACAAAATTGTAAGTAATTGTAAAGTACGAAGAATGAACCTGACGTCAGATTATTAAAAAAAACTTAGTACTTAGAGTAAATTTATTATGATTCCCGAATTAAAATGAGTCAAAGGTTTGGTGAATAATAAACTATAAGTTGTGGAGTTATAATACGGGGTATACTAAAAAAATTTATGAAGTAGTACCTTAATTGCGGCCACCTTGTGTAATATTTAAATGTTATTGAACAAAAAAATTAAACTGTTATACATACAAATATGCTTGTGTGCAAAATAATGTACATAAAACATTACACAAACATATACTATAGAATAATGTGCATACTTAATAGAAGGCTACCCTTTATGTAATCATTAAAAATGTTTTACTCTCTACAATACTGCAAATATCGTAGTAAACGTCTAATAATTTTAGAATATAAAAACTATATATAAATTAAATGAATTTAAAATAGAAAAATTTAAAATGTTATATAAGAGTTCATTTGCTATAAATTTTATAATATAAAATCCATAAAACTCATAGCAAATAAAAACAAATTACATAAATGTTATAAGAAATAAAACTTGCAAAAGCAAGACATATACACAAATATGTACATGTAATATATATTTAAGTGAATAGGAGGCTATAATAATAATGTTGGCAGATGAAATTTTTTGAAATAGAATTGATTTACATAAAATAAGAGTATGTGTATAACATTATAAAAAATGAATAAATAAAATTTAAATTTCTTATTAAAAAATTTAATAATTTACTCAACATAAGAATATTTAAATTTTAAGATTTCAATTCAAGATTTCTTAAGTATAACTCAGGAATTAAGTACGTATATAATCCAATTTGAAGTTGTCGTAATGTTCAGAATACATATACATATGTGTACATATGTATATTAAATAATATGCACTTCTAATTATACTAGCAGCAAAATATTTTAGGATGTAATGTATGCTGATCAATATTTTTAAATAAAGTAAAGGAAGAGTTTTCTAAATTTGGCTAAGGGTTTGATGTATGTATTAAGCTAAGTAGAAGTTATAAGACCACAATGCACTTTCTTAACAACGGCAAACCATTAATCTATTGTAAAGGGGATTTTTTTCTGCGAATCTTTACCAAAAGAGGAATTCCTCCAGGACACTTGCCTAGAAGAGCTACTCAGACGCTTCCTTGAGAGCCAAAACGGAATTCAGGAAGTGTTTTGTTAAAATACTTGGCACTTGGAAAATTTCGTTCTTATTACCAATTTTCAATTCGCAATATACATAATGTAAATTCTTGCATCCATACTAAATCTCACATCAAGTGAGGTGAACTTAGCAATTAATATCTAATTTAAAAGAGATTTAAATTCTTTATTGTTGTAATTAAAAATTTTCTTTTTAACTTTATCAATATTGCTTGAGAAACGTCTAATGTAAAAAATTTACATTACGTAATAAGTGTAGAAGAGGTACAGTTTTTTTTTTCATTCCTTCGTTTTCCACCTAAAACTTTTCATTCTATTTCTTTGCCTTAGTAAACTAAGTCAATATTTAAGATAAAAACTAAAGGCATTGCATAATTTTTATTTTTATTTTTGTTTTTTCGTAATTCATTTTAAATATCTACTGGCATATAAGATTTAATGAAAAGAGAAAGAAAATTTTAATGAAAGAGAAAAAAGCCTTTATAATGTTAAGTAGTTTGATCATGACCTGATATT